GTGTAGAGATTGGATTCACTTGGCCTTGGAATTTTTACCTGTGATTTGATGGCTTACTTTACGTGCTTGCATGATGCCCTTTATTTTTTGCTATTTTCACTATTGGGGAGGACAATTAGGGGGGTTAGAAAACATTTCTGAATCACTATTGATCCGCTACATTGATGGAACTTGATAGATTAGTAAGGTTAATTAAGCTTTCTGTAGCACTCTGAGTGTTTGTCAAGAGAGATCAGATTTTGCCAGCACAATAGATCACCCTCTGAAGTAGAATTACTAAAGATCTGTGATATTTCCCTTTTTTGCTTTTTCATAGCTAATCATATTTGTAAACCTGCCCACCGGAAGAAGCCATTCATCAGTATTCGCCTAACTTTCACCTTTCAGTCTTCCTAGGGATGTGATTTGCAAGGGGTACAGGCTGGTACAGGAATGTCAAAGAAAAGATACTAGTCATCATGTTTTCACTCTCTTTATTCCAAGAATTGTAATCTGAATGCCACTGATCTTCCAGTCAAGGTCTTTTTATTAAGGATTTTATTTAACCCAAAAAAAGATTTTTGCCCATGGTTCTTGACCCAGTGACAATGGTGTTACCATTAAATTAAATTGCGTTCTATGAAATCTCGGTGGAGCTACAGAATGCTCTAGAAATCTAACCTTTCAACACTCTATCCAACGAAAATGGCAGCCATCAATCTTTAACCACATACTGTGGTATGGCTCGGCATTCTCTCCTCACCCCACCCCAGTCTAGCATGATCATGTCAGTATTTTGTCTTGATGGCCAGGTCCTCCTCTGTATTGCAGGAGTGCTGACAGCTGCGCATGTATGAATGCATAGTGTAAATTGACGTGTTTTTTTTTTTTTTCTAAACTACGATAAGCCCATATCAGAAATGTACAAACATAGCTCTGGTCCGTGGGGGGTATACTGGTGTGGGAACCTCTGTAAATACATTTTGTGTGTTTTGCCTTGGGATTGTGCGAGTACAGATTTTATGGGAAGATATTTTAAACCAAGCAATAAAGGCATTGCCTTCTGACTCCAAGAGGAATCTCTCATGGTGCCTTACAATCAAGGTTTTTTTTTGTTTCGTTTGCAGAATCATCCTTTTGAGCCTAAAAAAACCAAAACAATGTCTAATACAATTATGTACAGGAAGTCAGCAGTTGACAGGAGAAATGTTGCCTCTCAGGATTTGCGCTTGTAACTATCTCAGATACTTTAGTTCTGCTAACTGCTGAAAATGCTCGCATAGTTATCTGCGAATAATGTTAAACTTAAAGCAAGCTACATCTTTGGGTTCCATTGTCATCTTGGAAGCCGCCTACAGTATCGGGGCTGCACATTAGTGCCGTGGGCCTATTTATTTTACTTGCTCCATCCCAGCAGGCCTTTTTTATTATTTGATCTTCTAAAACGCAGGACAGTTTGGGCCCAGGAGGCTACATACAAGTGGCAGTTCTGCATCTATCGTGTGTACAAAGTCTAAATACCACTAAACCTAAAATGTTACTTCACATAGAATAGATAATGAAGACATTCACAATGTGGAAGGTTCCTGCACAGAACAATGACACGTGAGGTTTAACTGATTAACCTTTGCTGCTAATGTAGGCTAAAGGATGTTTTCAAAGGACCATTGACAGTATGCCTCAATTTCTAAAATTACCTAACAAGAACTTGGCAGTGTTTTTGAAACTGTATACTCAGTTGATCTGGCAAGTCCCTAAAATATGACCATGATTATTAATGAACATTATTAGCAGCTGTTACAAATTGTCATATGTACTGAACCTTAATTTTATGTACATTTTTTAATTTTTAACATTTCACATCTGCACGTACCGTTCTAATTGCACCACAAACACGACCAGCAAGATGCACTTTTTTGCTCTGCGTTTGCTCGTCTGAAAGCACGCACAAACACGGAATCTAAAAAAGCGGAGCGTGGGTCACAGAAAAATGCTACAGGAGCTTTCGCCGGGCGTAGATGAACCCATTCAAATGAATGGGAACGTGCGGCAAGCACGGCACACAAACGCACGTAAACGTGCATGAATGCGTGCGAACGGGATGCGCATTCCCGCCACATGCAGGTGTGAACCTGGCTTTAAAGAGACCCTGTCACCACTCGAACAATTGCAAGTAAAAGCACAGGCCGTTCAATCAAATAAAAAAAAATCAAGTATTTTACATGTTTGGTAGTGTATTTCCTTTCCATAAATTTATTTTTAATAAATATTTGATTTAGATTTATTTACATGAAATGTGCCTTTTGAGCAAAGGGGAATGCTATTGACTGTCACTTAAGTGACAACTCCTAGTCTGCTGGGTCTGCTGGCATCACATCCAAGATGGCGGACCTCAGCAGAAGTCTAAGGGCTTTTGGATGTCTACACCAAAGAGGCTTTTACAGGTAAATAACATGAATACAATGTTTAATTCAAATATATTCTTAAGAGAAGTCTTTTGGTTTTTATATAGTCTGGTGACAGGTTCTCTTTAATGGAACTTTTTCATAATTTCCAGATTATAGTCCTGTGTTTCTGTAAAACTAATCAGGAATGCAGCACTCCTAAGAGGAAATCTAAAATCTCTGTAGGCAGTAGCTTTTCTGTGGTCATCCTGTTGCATTCTCTCCCTTTTTATGTACTTTTGAGGAACTGCTACATTACTCAGTCTATTGGTGACTTTTGGAACACATGACCACAAATTTAATTATAGTTCATTGCCATAATCATGTTTCATCAATGGCATTCTGCCGACAATACAGCCTACATACTGGTACATAGAGGAACAGTGACCACATTTCTCAATAGCTCTATCCTCCTATATCCTGTGTGTCAGTGAATCATTACCTCATGCAATCACTGTTTTGTATGTCTAACGAGTTAAAACAAGTAGCAGAAACGTTTTTGTAAATTAGGGGGGGGAAGCAAATTTTTACAACTAGTGGTATAGAATTTGACGTTGTCCAGAAAAATTCATTTTTTACAATACAAATTTACATATCGCAGAATATCGGAGCGATCGCACAAGGTGGCACTCTATGGTATTCCGCTTCACTCCTCTCCCAGCTGCTACATAAAAGGGTATTTAAGGGGCTAATGTAAATGGGCTTTATACAAACGATGGATACAGAAGTGCCATTAGTATGTAACCTCTTGGCCCTTTAGCACTAATGTGCAGACTGGTGCCGTTGCTTGCTTCCAAGATGGCTCAGTGGCGCTCAGACACAAGAAATAATTGGGAGGTGCTCAGTAGGCTGAAGAAAGACTCCTAATTCAGATACCTATGTAAACATTTTAAGCAGTTTGCAGAGCTAATAAGCATGTGAGATGGTTACAAGCACAAATCCTGAGCAGCAACATTTGTCCTTTCAACAACTGGCATCCTTTACCCAATTATAATACAAGACATTGTAGTATTTGTGCATCAGGTGCGGCAACAATTGCCCCTGACTTGTGTCCTTGATCTTGTAAAGTATAAGGTTTTTCTCTTTTTCCATTTAAAAAAAAAATTATGATATTGTTCAAGAGGGGAATATATTCTTATCGTTTATGCACAATTCTAACGGTGCATGGCTGGGCTTTTGCTTGTGGGGGATGAGTTGTTTGAATAAGTAACATTTCAGATGTTGGGTAGAGGTGAACTCATCTGAAGAGATGAGTTTTCAGGCATCTCCGAAGTCCCCGTTCACGCAATGTGTTTAAAAACCTGCAACGTGTTTGCAGTGCCATTACTTGTTAATGGCACCCCAAATGCAGTTGAAAATGCATGAGTTACTTTCACGCATATGTTGCTTGTGTGCAGCCCATTGATTGAATGGGCTCACCCATGGCAAACATAGGAAAATCACACGAATGTACACAAGCTCGCGTACGCAGACAGATTAGGAGATAAGATGATACAAAATATACCTGTGGGACATTTTTCTCTAAAGGTGCCCATACACCTGGCAATTTTATCGTACAATAAACGCGGGGAAATCCCGCGACCGTACGATAATCGGCAGGTGTTTAGAAGGCGTGCAACCGTTTCTACTGTACGGTCGCACGTCTTTTTGTCTTACGAGCAGGCTCGAAAACCCGCCGAGAATCTTACGATTGTCGGCGGGTTTGTGGCCTGTTCGTAAGACAAATGCCGCACGTGCCGGTGTGTGCAAGCGCACACTGCCCGTTCAGCATTGCAGTCACTGCCCGTTCAGCATTGCAGTCATCGAAAGCCCGCCCCTCAGCCGGGCGGGCTTGCGATGATCACAAGTACGATCTGCCTGTCCAAGATGGGCAGATTGTACATTTTTTAAAATTTACCTTGCAACCATCACAATATGAAAATCTTGCGATGGTTGTAATGTGTATGGGAACCTTAAGGGAGATGTCTGTTGGTTTATTAGCTCATTTACCATTATTTTGTTCTGTGCCAATGAAAGAGGAATGTAAAGAACACAATCACAACTGTAGGATCTGAACATACCTTTTAATGTTACATAGTCAGGTTGAAAAAAGACACAAGTCCATCGAGTCCAACCTATAGAGATACAAAGAGAAAAAAAAAAGAAGCCTAAACGGAACACTATGCCCACAATTACACCCTGATGTGTACATCTGGCTAAGAAAATCAATTTTTTTCGGAGTGATTTCCTATCCATGACTGCTGTCTAATGTCTAATAGTCTCTCAAACATTTTACAAAACCACATGGACATTTTAGTTCTTTTAAATTAGCTGAAAGGGTATTTTGCGCACTTCATTGACCATAAGCTTGATGTGACATTTTTTATATGGAAAATTTTGCACTTACAACTTTCAAACTCTTGGTGCCAGTCACAATGCTGCTACTTGCATAAGATCCCCTAAACATATTGGTTCCATCTGCCTGACTAATAAGCAGCACGAGGGGTTCTTCCTGCAGGGCAAGCCGTTGTCTTGTAAGAAGCAAAACATTCTGTTTTTCAGAAGAGAGATTGAATTTTTTTTTCCTTTCTTTTACAGGGGAGAAAAAGAAAACTAAAGCTATAAACAGTGAACTCAACCCAGTATGGAAAGAGGTAGGTTTGCTTTATGCAGTGACCTTAGATTATTTTCATTTTTACTGTGTGTGTGCGCGTGTTTAGCATCCTTTTTGGGTATTTATAAATACAAAAGCATACAATTCTCATAATATTTTTTACAGGTTTTATTTTGTAAATAAACATTTGTAAAATTGTGTATCTAAAGCCAAACTATGGATGTGACCTGTCTGGGGGTCTCCAGAAAGTGATGGGAAATCACAAATGTCACAGTTGTCATTGGAGTGGTAATAATATAGGGACAAATCCAGAAAAGATGCTTGTTCCAGTGACAACTATGTAAAAGGGTATTTCCTGTCATTTTGGAAAGATTTCCTCTTACTTCCTGTTGTGCTTCCAGGACAGGAAGTGAAATTTCCCTAATGGGACCGAGACCGCAAAAAAAAAAAAAAGTGACTTGCTCTCTACTATATGAAAAGTCTATGCAAATATCTCTAACCAAAAGGCTTGGCTTTAGTTATGCATTAGGACTCTTTTTTTTTTTTTTTCATACTATATTTTATGGGTGTTTTTGAATGCACCCCTTTTTTTAACTTGCCAAAAGCTCTGCAAATACTGGCTCTAAAACTGGCATAGTTCACACTTCACAGTCGGGTTTGGACATTGTGGCTTGGCCATTGAACATCTGCACTGTTTGAAGCATGGCTATTTCTATGACTTCTCCCAATGTACCACCTCACCATGGCAGTGGTTGAGTTATGGGCAGAAAAAGGCCCTAAAAACACACTGACTTGGATACTCTTCTGCTACCTATGCAGTGCAAAAGAATTCTTAGCCTGGCTTGGAGCCAGTGACAACACTGATTTATCTCTAACTATTTTTGTGTAGCTGTCCATGAATATCAGGAAACAACGTGGACATGCATGAACAGCTTCTGTCATGTACAGAAAGCTTCCATTCATATAAGCACTCTGTTTAGACAATGAAGAGACATTTACCAGCATTAGTTCCTCTATGGATGAGGGAACTATAGTGATCAGGGGTGTTTTACACTCCAATTGATTTAAACTCTGAGGCCTCGTGCACACCATCACATGAGACTGTATAATGTAAATTGCGGCCCAAGACTGATCTTGTGGGACTTCCTTGCTGACGGTGCCCCACAAAACATTACTTTTCACTGTTTGGAGCCCCTTATAGCCCTCATACCATCTGCAGATGACAGCTAAATTTACATGCAAGTGGATAGACTAATACTTCTGGATTAATGCTGAGGTTTTTGTTTTTTAAATGATGGGTCAGTCATGTCTGACTATGACTATGATAAGTCACCTTCCCAGATCAGAAATGTAAACTAAGTGCCAAATGTATTATCCTGTTTCACTCATGGAGCAAATTTCGGCTGCTTCAGCAGGTCGAACAAAAAAATATCAGTGTGTACTCTACTTTAGTTGATTTACTAGCAGCATTGATGGTGGCCCTTTATGCACATCAAGTGGTATACTTTAATACACATGATTTTCTCTTTTAACTGAAAGCTGAATCTTTGGTGCAAGGCAAACCAAAAATCTTGGAACTAAATTGACAACTTAATCTTGTTCTTGTGTCTTAGCTTCTCTTTTCTTCAGCCTTTGACACATTGTGCTCCATTTTGGCCATAGAACCCAGGGGCAGCTGCTTTTTTTCCCCCCCCGTCCCATGAACCCCCAGACACGCCTTGTTTGGGTTCCTAGCCCTAGAGTTAAACTGCAGGAACTAATAGTGCTGCTAGCTTTCTCTGACTTGGGTGCCTGCTTGCTGTCAGTCATGAAGGGGTTAAAGTGTATTTCCACTTTTGCAGTCAAATTTGAGAAAGTCCCTTTATGTTCATGTGATCCTATTCATACAGCATAAAAAAAAGAACATATTTCTGAACTTCTTTTAGATGTTTTGTTAAAGTAGGCAAGATGGCCGGTTCCAGGTTTTTCCTCAGCACCTTCACGGCGATCTGTCCTAATGCTGTCCTAATGCTGTCCTAATGCTGTCCTAATGCTGTCCTAATGCTGTCCTAATGCTGTCCTAATGCTGTCCTAATGCAAAGGCTTGGGACTGAAATTTGAGGATTGTGCGTTCTTGTTTTTTTTGTTTTGACTTAAAATGGAACTATGGGGTGAGTGTTTTGTCCCCCATAGTTCTCTTTAGGGCCACAGGGGGACATATACTAACCACCTCCTCCGTGACCCAAAGCTCAGTATATAGCGGGCTATTGCCCGCAATATACCGAGAGTGCCGCAGCCGGGACGGATCCTGAAAATACTGTCAAGATCCACCCAGCTGCATGAGTGACGGCTGGCTCTGCCTATCTAGAGGCAGAGCAAGCTGGACCCGTCTCCACCCCGTCCGTTCAGGGGAAATGCCTGCAGGGAGATTATCGGAAAGTGAGCAGGCGATGGTATGTATTTGCTAACTTCCCGATCAATAGAGCCGACTTGTGACGGCTTCTTTGTCACAGGTCGGCTCATGCTATGAGGATGAGTGGAAATCACTTGCTTCATAGTTCTCTCCTATTTATGAGGGGGCCGATTCCCTTTACCACATCCAGTGCACTAATGTGCTGCATTGCTTGCAAAAATTGCATTTTATATACAGTTGTGACAAAACATTAATGAATAATGTGATAATGATGCGCACACACAAACCATGCTGTCCACATCAGGAGCAAAGGTGCTTCATTAACACATTACAAATGAGCAATTATTGTCTGCCTTATCGACTGTTTTAATGCAAGCTATGTATTTATAGACCTCGTGCAGATTGGAAATAAAATGATTGTAATAGATGCCAATATTGGATATGTTACTTTCTGTAGAAGAAATAAGGGTTTTTTGTAAATAAGGGGGAGTAGTTATTGATCTGCTAAAAGGAACATGACCAGAACTAATTTGATTTAGAATCTCATTACACAGTGGGTGGAGTATGAAAGGGTTCTGTGAAATCTTCTGGCTCCATGGTATGTGAAATATTTGTGGTTTACATACAGCTACATATATACCCTGTTTCACCCTTTCCCCTCTTGCAGCTTTTAGAGTTTGATCTGAAGGGAATACCCCTGGACTACTCCGCGACATTGGATGTCATCGTCAAAGACTTTGAAACAATCGGAAAAGACAAGTAGGTTATGAGTTTATCTGTACTGTGGAATGTGATGTGTCCTTCAATGATAGTTTGTTAGTGAACTTAGGCCAGTGCCTGGCAAAGCTAGTCATGCACCTTCGAGTCCTGCTGCGAGCCTGCTGAAATTCAATCAGTGCGTGACCCTGTCGGAACTCCCCTGTTCAAGAAAAGGCTTTTTTTTTTTTCTTTTTTTGTTGGAGTCCTTTTTGTAGTTTTTCCATCTTTTCTCCTGTTTTGTACTGTCTTTTTAGGAGGGTTTAAAGAAGATTGGATAAATCACATGGTTAAGGAGGAAGCTGCTTTCCAAAGGCTTGTCTTTATAAAATATAATAGGAAGCTTATCTTCTGTTTATGTAATAATGGCAAACAGAATAGGTGAGGTGGAGAGGTTCACATTACATCTCCTGGCATAAGCAAACACACATTGTGGGTGGGGATCAGTTACTGCTTCACAGGAAACAGCGCACCCAAAATGCTGCAAAAATAAATGGAACAAAATGGAATTGGCATTAAAGAAAACCTGTTCGCTCCTAAAATGTGCTAAACTGAATACACAAGTAAAATGCCAGCATGTAAAAGGCATTTAAGGCCAGTGACATTAAACATGGTTGCGAGTCTTGAAAGGGAACCATTCTTGGGAGACTGAAAAAGCAGAATAGTGCTGCATATTCCGTTCTCATGAGTCATCGTATTTGCATATCTCATTTGCCTATATTAACTTGACATGTTGTAGGGCCATATGAAGCTTACTAAATATAGGTACTTGAGCTGGCCATGACATAGCAATTTTTTTTCTTTTTCTAGCAGTGTGAGATTAAATGTATAGATATTTGTATAGGTTTACATTCTGTGCTCCTGCAGTGATCGCCTAAATCTTAAGCTGGCCATACATGAATAGAATTTCTTTTGTTCAGCCCCACTGAGGGAATTCCATCCATCTATGTGCAGTAAATTGAGTACTGTATATGACTATAAAACATCACAATGTTAATACTTGGGCTTCATTCACACGGATGTGTACAGCCTTACAACATGCACATCCATACAGAAACCTGCACCCGGGAGGGACAACTGCTGTGTGTAGCCGTCTGTACATCTCTGACAGGACACGGCTGTATGCCATAATAAGTATGAATACACGCTCTTGGATGCTACATGCAGCACTTGTCCCTGTCTCCAGACGTGCATGTTGCACAGCTGTGCATAGCCATGTAAATGAAGCCTTATCTTCAAACCAGTATGACACAAATTATTCTAGCCAAATGCTTACAATTAATCATATAGAAATGTACTTGTATGGTATCGTGAGATAAACCCATTATTCTTCACATATGCATATTCAGTGATGCACTGCCTGCCCCAAAAAAAGTCACCTGCATTTAGCTAAGCGAATAGGTCAGAGCCTCCCATTGGATAATAGGTCTAGGTTCAGCAATGTTATGTGCCCAAAAAATGAGCTGCCTACCTGAATATAGTTAATGACCAGATTTTTCCATCAATGGGTTTTTTTCTTACCCAATGACATGGGCGTATTCCAAGATGACAATGCCAGGATTAATTGGGCTCAGATTGTGAAAGAGTGGTTCAGGGAGCATGAGAGCGTGTTTTTTTTTTTTTCCACATTCAGCCTGCGGACTGACTGAGGCAACATGAATGTTATGGCCAGCCTTACGCTCTCAATATGGTGACAAATCTAAATCTCATGCGTAACCTTGCACAGTTGTGATTTGTAGTCTGACCAGTTGTGAATGTTCCTCTTTACAATTAGGAACCTCGGACCAAACCCGGGCATCTGGGATATGACTGCACTGGCATTCTAAGGATTTTTTTCCCCCCAAATAGGTCATAGATTTGATAAAACTCTTAAGGGTTGGTTTAAAGTGAGATCAAAGGCTTTCCACCCCCAATGCTGCTGTAAGCACTTGCCTTATTTGATGCCTCTTGATCCAATCATTTATCTTCATTCTACTTGTCCCTCTAGCGCTGGTGCCGGTCTCTGAACCAGAGCAGACTCCTTGTCCCATGGAGTCGGTCCGGCGTGCAAACTCCCGGCTGCGTCTATTCACTGTCATTGCCTGTTTTCTCTCCTCTACTCTATTGTGTACGCACCCGCACACCTTCCTCCTTCAGCTGTTCGGGAGACGCGTAGGAGCGACGCTGGAACAGGTAAGTAGTTAGATATTTGCCCACTTTTTAATTTTTCTTTAAATCATGGGGCATTTATCTATTGCTTGCTAACTGTAGATGTATGCCAAATAAAGAGACTTTAATTCTACTTTAATACACAAAGTAACTTCAGTGAGGTTTTTGGCCTCATTCACTGCTAAGAGCTGGCCTGGCCCCCACAGATCTTTGTGGCGTGCACAGCCATATCGGGCCGCTCCCGGGAAGGACAGGTGCTGTGTGTGATTGTACGCAGCAGCCTGTTCTTCTCCTCTATGGGTGTACGCGCCCATACACTCACCGCAACTGCACATCTGTGCGGGTGTCCGTGCTCAGACGCAGACAGGATCCATCCTGTCTGCATACGAGTACGGACACCCGCGTGGATGTGCAGTTCGGGTGAGCAAATGACTGCGTACTCCCATAGGGAAGAACAGGCTGCTGCCTACAGTCACACGCAGCACGTTTCCTTCCCGGGAGCGGCCCGATATGGCGGTGAGGTCTTACTGTTCATTTAAAGTAGACAACCGCCAGTCCTGTACTGCATAAAGCTGGCCATACACTGGTTGAGTTTTGGCCACATCCTGCTGACTCTACCAGTGTGTAGCCCCCTCGGTGACCCCCTCTTTGACAAAAGACGATTGAAAAATCAACTTTGTAAAAGGAACCTGTCTAAAAATTCTCGGCCGTCACTGTTCAGCTATTTTGACAGTGGCACACCTGCTGCTGTCAAGATGCAATTGCCCGGTGGGCTAACAGCGTGGAGAGGGAATTGAGAGCTTGCAGGGCTGAAAGACAGCTTGGTGTGCAGCCGGCTTAACTTGTCTACTTGGATGAACTTTGGGGAAAAAAATTATGTTCAAAGCATTTCATGACAATAAGCAATGCTCATATCTTCCTGTGTTCATTGTGCCATGACTGGGACACCACACTTTGCTATGAGTAATTATTTCTGGTCACATGACTTATCCAAACATCCAAATTTCCATACCAGCCACAAAACTAGTTCTGGTCATACTGGGAACACTGGGTAGTTCTTTTGTTTTTGTTTAATTCTATACAGTTGTCTGATGCACACACCGTGACCAGCAATAGAGCAAAGAGTTATTTTTAGAAGTTAAATATTCTAGGAAGTGTTTTGTTCTGTGGATAAAAAAAAGTGAAGCAGTGGTGTGTGCAGTTATCGGAACTTCCAAACGCAGTCTCCTGCTGTGGTTGGTATCCTAGCAACTGAGAAAAATAGAGCACGCCCCTCAACTAGGATTAATTACTGTACATTCCTAGGTTATACGTTCTTTCCTGGCTGACTTATTACAATGTATTTCAAGGGCAGGACGTTTATGCAAAGTAATTGTTTCACTGCATGCATTGTAGGAATACTGAGGGCCCAGTCACACCAAGAGTGCGTTCCAGTGCGTCCACCCTCTGGAACGCAACCCGGCCGGCTCACTTTGTTTTGGGGTGGGAAGGGGCATGTCGGTGCACTCTTGAACGCACTCTTGTTGGGGTGACAGGGCCCTGAATCAAACCTTAAAGAAACTCCATGCAATCGAAAAATTAACCCGTGCAGTGGGGAGACCCTCTCACTGCAAGGGTTGATTGCTCAATTTGGTTAAGGGGGCTAAAATAAAGAAAATACACTCGCCTGATCCTCGGTCCTCCATGGCTGCTATATCTGACCCTGCAGCCACTTCTCCTCAGTGCTTTGGTGATTTAAGGGCCCGTAACCTTATCACATCAAATGCAACTGCATTAGACGTGAGGATGCCATGGCACATTACACCTCCAGAGCGGAGGGGGAGAGAGGTGAGCAATCACTGTCGCAGGAACGAGGGTCCGGTATATGTTTTTTATTTTAGCCCCTAGACCAAAACTAGCAGTTAACCCTTTCAGTATCGGTGTAGCCCCACTGCACAGGTTGTTGGTTTTCTTCGTGTTTTTTTTTTTTTTTAACAATTGCATGTAGTTTGGTGTCGGTGTTCGAATCGGTGAATTCTGGTTTCGTACCATATACACTGGTCCTTGCTTATTTGCGTAAGCCCGTCTTGTCCTTTGAATCCATCTGTTAGCTCTTCCAATTCAAATTACACAAGACAGGCTGTGCTGAGATTTTAGAGCTGCTGGTGCCTAAAGCTGAACGTCGGCTTCACCTTCAGTCTTGCACAGCTGTACTTGCTCCGCTCCTGTACTGAAATCGCTTACTCTGATTTCACTGTAAACTGTGAGCTTCTCACAAAGTGCATTAGAGCCTGCAGCAAGTCTGAGCCTGCCTCATTTCCTAGCTGGAGGATGTTCAGCAGCATCTAGCTCTTTCTGCCCAAGCCTTACTGTCCCTGGCTTTGCCTTTTCATTCCTTGGACTTCATTTCTATAAATCATGGAGGTTGATCACATGATGTTGTTGCGCAGGGCAGTCTGGATGCAAATGTAGCCTGCATAGGAATGCCCACTCCTCCAGACTGACATCCACCCATCAAGGTATTTTTGATATTTGCATAAATCCTCCCAAGAGCCAGCCCACTGCTCGCTACATAGCTGAGGGCTGTTAAGAGTGCTATAATGTTTTCAGCATGCTAGGTACAGCAACCTGCCGGCCCCTCTTACCAGCAACAATCTGCCTGCCTTGCACAGAGACCCATTACATATGTCACTGGGTCTAAAATATGGTATGTAATGGAAATGTTTACATTTAAAAAAAAAAAAAATCACAGGAGGAAACGGGGAAGGCAAAATATAAGCCGTTTAAACTTCAGACTTAAAGAAAGTGTGTGTGTCTCCTAGGCCTAACATGCCACTTATATAAAATACTCGAAGTTAAACATACATGGCTCCTGGCTGCACTGGGGTGAAGAGGCAATCTGCTTCACCAGCTTGTTCTCTGGGCTGAAGGAGCTGGGGAATAAGCACAGTGACACCGGAAGTGATTTAATACACATCACTTCCGGGTTCAGTGACCAGAGGAAAGATCAGTGGCTAGAAGCTTGCTGAACTCCCTCTGCACAGTGATGGGAGACCTGTTGTGCCAGTCTTGGGCCCACACGGGACAGCGGAAATAGGGGTAGCCAGTGACAGCGTAGGGGCACACATTCTGCCGCACCGTACGAGCGATCTGCCAGCTGTATAGCCGCCGGATTGCTTATATCTAAACACCCATCGCCTGATGTTTAAAACGATACCATGATCATGGCTGGAGCAGCAGCTGTGTTTTGTTAAACTGCTTCAGGGACAGGGCCTTTTTTTTTTTTTTTTTTTTTTAACTGTTCGTGGTCCTGAAGTAGATTGCAGTACGCTACCCCTACACTGCAAGGGTTAACTGCTCACTTGTGTCTAGGTGGTAAAAGAACAAAGATTTACTCAGCGGAAGGTCCAAGCCAGCTTCTTCTTAGACCTTCTTAGAAACCACACATTTCTCCCTCCTCTGCAGTGGTTTAAGGTCCCATAAATCATCAATGTCTATACACGGTGTATAGACAATAGGACGCTGAGCAAGATTCCAATGCTGCAGGGGGGGGGGAGGGGAGGGCTGGAGGGAGCGTCATGACAGCTTTGGGTGAGTATATCTTTTATTTTAGCACCTAGACAAAAATAACATGCAAAAAAGCACTTAACCATTGACAGACAACAGTTGAAAGAGTTCCCTGTGGAAAGTTCACAAACTTTACTGCTCTTCAGGTAAGTAGACTGTAAACAGAAGGCTCCCTGCACACCCCCCACCTGTAAGTGCCCTTTTTGTTTGGAATTGTACAGCGGTGTGAATGCATAACGCTCATTGAATGCCCCTGTAACATTTTGAGACTCTCGGGCAGAGAACTTTCTGTATCTTGCTGACCCTGAGTATTTTGATGTTGACTTCAGCATGCGCCAGTGCTTGTGTGGAGGGGTTTACTTACAGCTTTTCCCTACTTTCGTCCCGTTACACTGAGGCGTGCTCTCTTGTTCTGCTCCAGGGATCTCCATATTTCATACGTCTTCTGTTAGTTGTTCTGGCTGACTTCCCAGACTGCTTTCCAAAGAAAACTCCTCCATTTGCTCCAGCAAGTACTGGGCATCTGTTCAAACTGAAGATATCATTCCCCCCCGCCCCCTCTTGTCTCTTTTT